TTTCAGACAAACCCAAATTGAGGGACATTCTACAAAAAACTGGACAGTAATCCTCAAAAGTGTTAAGGTCATGAAAGTCAAGAATGAAACACTGTTGCAGATTGAAGGAGACTAAAAAGATATGACAAGTAAAGGCAGCATATTACTGAGGACTAGATCCTTTTGCTATAAAAGGCGTCACACGGAAAACTGGTGAAACTTGAATGGGGTCTGAGGTTTAGGAATGGTAGGAATGCACCCATGTTCTTTTCCTGGTGTTGATGGTTGTATTGTGTTCACGTAGGAAAATGTCCTTGTTAGCAGGAAATATACACTGATGTATCGGGGTAGGGAGGGGATGGGCAACATATTGACAACTTACTCTCAAAGTGGTTGAGATAAAAAGTTCTTTGTACTATTCATGTATATTTTCTGTTTGATATAATTTCACAAGAACAGATTTTTAATAAAGGGGAAGAAGCCCTGGCCAGTGTGACTCAGTTGGCTGAGCATTGTCCTGTGCACCAAAAGGTTGCTGGTTCGATTCTGAGGCAGGACACATGCCCGGGTTTCTGGCTCAACCCCCAGTAAGAGGAGGAAGCCAATTGATGGTTCTCTTGCTCTCATTGATATTTCTCTCTCTCCCCGCTTCCTCCTTTCTCTCTAAAAATAAATAAAAACTATATTTAAAAAAATAAAAATAAAAAACAGAAAAAAGGGTATTCTTTGGAAAAACTTTAGATGGTTTCCCACAATCAAGTTGCCCCTAGTACTGCTACTGTTTAATATAATAATGAAAGTTCTATACCAGGATTTAAGAAAAAAACTAACAAAATCAAACAAAACACAACAAGAATAAGAAACCCATGCCCAGCCAGTGTCACTCAGTGGTTGGGCATCAACCTATGAACCAGGAGCTCATGGTTTGGTTTCTGGTCAGGGCACATGCCTGGGTTGTGGGCTCAATTCCCAGTGGGAGGCCTGCAGGAGGCAGCTGATCAATGATTCTCTCTCATCATTGATGTTTCTATCTCCCTTCCCTCTCCCTTCCTCTGTGAAATCAATAAAAAAATATTTTTTTAAACCACAAAGTGAAAAAACTGAAAGAAACATATAAAACTTTTTATTTGCAGAAGATATAATTATCTCTATAGAAAACCCAGCAGAATCAATAGACAAACTAGGAAAACCAAGAAAAGAGTTCATTAAGGTTGCCAGCTACAGATTCAATTATCTTCTTCTACAGACCTAAAGGAAATATTTGCAATATCTAAAATGGATATGGGGTCAATATGTGAATATACAGTGAAATACTTTAAATCAACAAAAATAAAGACAGGAAAGTCAACTGGGAAAAATGTGCACAGCATGTGAGTAGGCATTTCAAAGAGGATGAAGCTCTACTGGCTAACGAGAATATGAAGTAACACTCAATATACTCAGAGAAGTACAACCGAAAAGAACTAAAAGCCTACTTAATACCCATTAAAGCTGTAAAAATTAGAAAGTTGTATAATATCAAGTGTTGGAGACAGTAGAGGTGATAAGAACTTTCAATTAACATTAAGCGGGTAGATACAGACATTCTGAAAAATGATTTGGCAGTAGTTAGTGAAGTTAAGTGTGCATAACCCTCATGACCCCAAAATTCCATCTGTATATGGTATGTATCCCAGGAAAATTCTTGAATGGGTTCAAAGGGGACCAGGTAAGAAGGTATTTCTCTAGAATTGTTTGTAGAAGTGCAGAATGGACAAGTAAACTATGAAACTATGATGGACACCTACTACGGACTCCTATGCAGGACACAGTCGGAAACTGTCATAAGCAATAACTTGATTATATGTAGCAATAAGGATGGATCCTAGACACAGTTGACTGGAAAAAAATAAAAATAAAATGAAATGGCAATGCCACTTAATTTAAAACACATACACTAAACAACCTATACTAGGTTGAATAATGCCCCCTCCTCCCCCAGATGTCCACATCTTAATCCCTGAATCTGTGAATCCCCTATGTGGATGAAAGGGGCCACATGCTGACCTGACAAGCTCAGGAGAGGCCTGCATGGCAGTTTTGCAGACTCGGAGACCTAAAGTAACCACAAAGGATGGTCTGAAATTAAACCTTAACTAAAAGCAGTTATGGTGGGCAGTTACGTCCTAAGCCGATATCTTCACTGATAAGGTCAACCTTTACCGTAACTGAGCCTATCTGTCCTTTTTGCATCTAAGATAACATATCCTTGGGATGTCTGGGTAACTTGTGACTTCCCTTTTTATGGAGCCCCTGGGGCACAGCCAGGTGTGCTGGGCCCAGGACAGATGCAGCAGATTCTTTCATTTATCATGTTAATTGTTCCGGCACCCACCTAAGTATGTGCCCATCATTTTACTTTTTATCCTATCACGGAGGTTCCCCGCCCCCCCTCCGCTTCGCTTAATCCCACCTCCTTAAATCTGTCACCAATGAATTTCTTGTATAAATACGGATGTAACCCTGCCATTCTCCGGAGCACTATCTCAATTCCTTGAGGTTCTGCTTCCCGGCATATGTCGACAGTTTGGCTCAAATAAACTCACAAAAATTCTTTACAGGTTTCAATGGTTTTTTTACGTTAACACCTATATATGGCAAAAGAGATTTCACAGGTGTGATTAAGTTCAGTATCTTGAGATGGGGACATTATTCTGGATTATATGGTAGACCTGATTTGATTACAGGGTCTTTATAAGAGGGAGGCCGAAGTGAGTGAGTAGTAAATGTGATGACAGAGCAAGAAGTTATAGAGAAGGAAGAAGGGGCCACAAACTGAGGAATGTTGGCATCCTCTAGGAGCTGGAAAAGGCAAGCTAACAGACTCTCCCCTGAAGCCTAAGGAATGGAGCCCTGCCAATACTTAATTCTAGATTTCTGACCTCCAGATCTGAAAGAGAATAAATCTGTATTGTTTTACAAAGCCACTAAATTTATGGCAATTTTTTATAGCAGTAATAGGAAACTCAAGCATACATGCATAGTTAGGAGTATATATCAATCACATTTGAGGGGGTATCTATGGGGGAGAAGAATTGGAGACCAGACAGAGAATGAAAGGAGGTGATAGAATAAAACAAGTGAGATGGCTTGTATGTCAATGAAAACACTGTTATAACCTGAATAAGAAGATTAACTTGAGTCTCTGTAGGAAAGGTCCAGCAAAGACAAACAGAAGCAGATCACTCTGACTGATGTGTAGAAAACAGGTTGTATGCTCTGATGATAGGTATGGCAGATATTCTGAGTATTGGCTCTTTTAAAGACTTCTGATATAAAACCAGTCTCCCTTGTGCCTTGATTTTTCTGTGAAGCTGGTGCCCTGAAGACCAGGCATAAAAATGTTGGTTATCAAACGGTATACCACTCATGATAAATCACTTAATTTCTCTTACAAATTTGATTAGTGTGTCAGTCCAAAGATCTACCCTAGGTAGCCTGACAAATTCAAGTTTCCAAGTTTGTGAAGATGAGGGCCAACCTGCACTGTGCTGACCACCTTAAATGCACATAAAGACGTGGTGCAGCCAACCTGCATCCTGATGCTCCCCCATCCTTCAAAGCCTCATTCCTTCTGGTATCCCAAATGCCTAGCAAAGGGCCTTACACACAGTAGGCACACAGTGCTTGTGGTTAGGATTTAGGATTTGGCAGATATATAGCACCTGTTAGTGGAATAAGGTGACCTTCCCTTTCCCTCAATTCAGACCATCTTTCTAGTTTTATTTCCTACTAGTGGCCCAGTGCATGAAATTCACGCACGGTGGGGCTTCTCTCAGCCCAGCCAGCACCCTCTCCAATCAGGGACCCACAGGGATCGAGCCTAAACCGGCAGTCGGACATCTCTCTTGAAATCTGGGACCACTGGCTCCTAACCGCTCACCTGCCTGCCTGCCTGCCTGATTGCCCCCAACTGCCCTCCCCTGCCGGCCTGATCACCCTCAACTGGCCCCCCGCCCTGCCAACCTGATCCCCCTAACTGCCCTCCCCTGCTGGCCTGATTGCCCCTAACGGCCTCTGCCTCGGCCCTGCCACCATGGCTTTGTCCAGAAGGACGTCGGGAAGGTCTCTGGAAGGTCTCCCGGTCTAATTAGCATATTACTCTTTCATTAGTATATATGTTGCATCTACCCCTAAGGACTCAGTATTCTCTGAACACTCCATATTCTTTCATATTTGCTTGATATGAATAATGTTCTATTTTTAAAGAGGAAGTTCAAATATTACTTCTTGGAGATCTTTCTTGTCTTTCCATGCATTCATTTGATCAATTATTCATTCACCTGGTGACTCAACAAATATTGAGCACCTTTATAAGCTGGGCACAATGCGAGGCATGGAGAATGTGATAGTAAGCCAAACATAAAGACTCACCACCCTCACGGAGGCCTGGCGGGGGAGACCGAGTTTAATAAACAGAATGTATGATGTCCCCATTCATGAACATACAATTAGCACCTGACATGTACTAAGGAAACAAACACTGTTCTTTGAGAGCACATAACCAAGAAATCCATTTGGAATAGGGTGGGTTATGAGTAGCGGAGTTCAAGGAAGGCCCCTCTGAGGAAGCGCTTTCTTATTGTGTGGAATGGCGTCCCCAAAGCTGGACGCCGCGCTCCGATCAGCGTCGGGGTCCGGGGACTCTCCCGCCGCCGCCCACAGAGGCAGCCCCAGCCAGGACCGCGGCCCTTCCCTCCCCAGCCCCGAGACCTCGCGAGAGCACACGGCCACCGGTTATGGCTCAGACTTCCCGGCCTCAGAACGGCCGCCCCCTTCCTCCCCTCGCCTTGCACCCCGCGCTCCGCTCCCGGATTGGCTGACGGAGCCACGACGAGCTGGAAAGTGGTTCGACAACTAGTCCTATTTTTGGTCCCGCCCACGAAGCCTGCGGATTGGACGGCTGAGCCTTGCGTCACGCGCCTCCTAGAGCGCGGACGAGCCAATCAGGAGCTCGGCGTATTTTACAAACTGGAGAAGGAGCTGCCCCAGAAGCCAAGTCAGGGAAAAAGCGAAGAAGAGGGGGAGACCCTGAGGGGTTCCGGGGAAGGTGTGGCGCGGGGATCTTGGAGGTTTGTAAGGAGGAGAGGCAGGTCGGGGTCCTGGGGCGGAAGAATAGGCTCAGGGTGTCTGGAAGTGGCACCCAGAAGAGCCGGCCTTGCAGGCGCCGGGTCTTCTGGGCGCAGGTGGAAGTATCAGGGGTGTGAGCACCGCATCTATGCCCCATGCTGCCTGACCTTTGATTCCTGGTCCTGCCTTCTTCCCCATCTCAGTTGTAGCCGTCATGACCACCTCCCAAACGAAGAAGGACCCTCTCCTCCGGGGTGTATCTCCCACCCCGAGCAAGATTCCGGTTCGCTCAAAGAGACGCCCGCCTCTCCCCACACTCAAGCCCTGCGACTTGGACCGGGAGAACCAGGATCCAAAGGTAAGAGGGGCTTGGTGAAGACAGTAGCTACAAGGAGGCAGCACACACCAGCAATGCACGCCAACGCTGAATTTTTTTGTCCTTCCCTCCCCCAGAGATTGGAGCAGAAGTTCAGTACTCAACGTCCCCTTGTTGACTCAGCAGGCCCCAGGCCAAAAGCCACACATCAAACACAAAAATCAGAGAGATTGGTGGGGAGCACCCTGCTTCGGAAACCATTGGAGGAGCTCAGGCCGAGCCCTAAGGAACAAAGTGTGGGGCCTGGGCCCCCTCCCCAGAAAGGTACTTGTTGGAGACTAGAACACAGTCTCCTGGTGGGGAGACTGAGCTGGGGATGGTGGAGTTTGGGGGCTTTGCACTGCTCCAGTCTCCTGCTGACTATAGAGTCCTTCCTGGTCCCTGCTCCTGGAAAGCTCTTTGCTCTCAGAAACCCTCTCCTTCCTTCAGCAAAATGTCATCTCTTCTAAAGCCTTTCCAGCTCTCCAGTCACAAGCAATTGCTCTGTGTTCTAATACTTTGCTATACTCTGTTATAACATGTCCATAATTGGTTTAAGGGGAGGAGAGAGAAACATCGATTTGTTGTCCCACTTATTTATGCACTCGTTGGTTGATTCTATTCAGCGCCCAGACTGGGGATAGAACCTGAACCTTGGTGTATCGGGATGACACTAACCAACTGAGCTACCCAGCCAGCACACATGCCCATAATTTGGCTTGAGTCTGTTACCTCTCTATAGTTTGATGATAGTTTTTTGAGGGTGGGCTTTGTCTTATTCATCTCGGGGCCCCAGGGCCTAGAATAGTGTCTTACATAAAGTTCTGTGAACATTTGGTGAGTTGAGTCCTACTATATGAGTCTCTGGCTTACTGTTGCACCTCAAGGTGGCTACACTAGGGTACCTGGCCCCTCTTAGCTTTCCCTCTTCCTTTCCCATGTCACTTTCCTTCTCTTCCTTTACAGAGATTCCAGGGGCCATAGAGTTTGTGGCTGACCCTGAGGCCCTGGCTACCATCCTGTCAGGTGAGGGGGTGAAGAGCTGTCCCCTGGGGCGCCAGCCCAGTCTGGCTCAGAGAGTACTGGTTCGAGGGAGCCAGGGAGGCACCATCCGGAGGGGCCAGGTAATGAGACAGAATATGATGAGAGCAGGCTGGGGTGGACTGAGGAGGGAATCCTGAGCTGATAGCCTCTTTTGGCATCCCAGGGTACCCGCGCCTCTACATATTTGGCTCCCAGAACCCCCCAACACCGACTAGACCCAGCCAGGGCTTCCTGCTTTTCGAGATTAGAGGGACCAGGACCCCGCAGCTGGACCCTGTGCACCCAGAAGCTAGAGGCTGTGGTGAGTGCCTTTGGGGGGCTGATACTCGGTGTTTCTGGGAGCTCCTTCCAGGGGACATAGCTGGCCTTGTGAGAGAAGGTATCTCATGATGACCCACAGGGGGTCTGTGGAGGCAGATGGGGTTGGTGGTGAAGCCTGAAGGTTTGGGGCTCACCTCTGACTCTGCCTTTTTTTCTTTTGCTTTTATGGGTCAGATTCCACCTTCAGGACCTTCATTTGACCCCTCTGCTCGCCCCAGCTTCCAGGAGCTAAAAAGAGGGACAGGTGGCAGCAGCCGGTGAGAAGGAGGAGGTCCTTTGGAAAAGAACGATCTAATGCTCCGTACAGGGGTCCCTCAGAGCTAGGGTCTTCCAGTAGCTTTAGGACTTCCCACCAACCCAGGAGGGGAAAAGGGAGGGTGGGCCTGTGACTGCCCAGGTGAGCCCTTGGAATAGGATTCAGGCCTTGTTAGCCAGGCTTCACTAGGACATCAGTTTCTTCAGGTTGTGGGGGTTGAAGGGTACAAAAATGAGAGGTGCTGTCTCTTTTATTTAGTGGCTAAAGCACAGATTGTGGCAATAAATGGAATCTGGGTTTGATTCCTGACTCTTAGCAAACTTGCTAGTTGTGCAAGCTTGCCTTAATCTCCACGCTTCAATTTCTTTGTCTGTCAAATGAGGATAATGTTTGTGCCATCATTAGAGGTTGTGGTGAGAATTAAATGAGCTGATGTTTGTAAAGCAGTTAGCACAGTGCCCAGCTCATACTTGACACTCAGTGACTTCTAGCTGCTGCCCTTTTTGTCATCAGGACTGCAGTGAGCCAGGGATTGCACCTGGAGACCCCAGTCCAGCCTGGTGAGTGTGTCTGGCCATGGGGAGAGAACAGGGGCAGGTGGGCTGTCTGCAGTGGGGATCAAGAGGAAAAAGCTCAGTGGGCTGGGGGAAAGGGGCAAGGCCAGATCAGAAGGAGCTGGAGAGGAAGAGACCTTCTTGATAGGCCAGAGGTTGGCCCAGTTGCACTTTCATCAAAGGATGTGGTCCCTACCCTCTCCCTGCCACTTCCTACAAGAATTGTCTTCCACTCACTATTTTACCTTCAGCTCCTAAGAGCCATCAGCACATCCTGAGCCCACTCAGGGTATTCAGATTGATAAGTGATTACTGAGGTATTAGATGGATCTCCACCCTTGATGGGGCAGTGGGGGCTGTCAAACTGACATACCCTCTTTTGAGGTTGCAAAGCCCTGTGCCAAACTTTGGCAGGTGTTCCAGATACTACAGAAATTTTCTGTCTCCTCCTAGCTTCCTCTCTCCTGGAAGGAGAACGTGAAGTAGTCACTCACTCAGATGAAGGAGGAAGGGGCCCTCCTGGTCTGGCCCAGTGGGTTCCATTAAGAGAAAGCCGGGAGCTAACCCACACCAAGGTGAGATGGGACCCTTCTGGGACAGGGGAAGTGGGCAGGGAGATACCTGGGGAAATTCCCCAGCAGCGGCCAACACTGAGGATTGTGGGTATAGCCAGGTAGTCCTGCGCTTTAGATGTTAATTGGATCTGGGTTTGCTCCTGATGAGCCCATGCCCTCTCCAGAGAGGGACTGGCCTCTGTTTACCAGGTGTCTGGGGCCTGGAGGTGAGAGGTCACAGTCTGGTATATATTTGTATCACCATCAGATCAGTGCTGAGAGATCTGACACTGTCAGCCAAAGCATTCATTCATTCACTCCACAGTATGTATTGAGAAGCTACTGTGTGTTAAGCACTGTTCTAGGTTCTGGATATACAGTAGCAAATAAGTTCACATTCTAGAAGGGGGAGGCAAAAAGTAAACACATTGTAAAATATATAGTGTGTCAGATGGTGATAAGTTCTCTGTCATAAATAAATAAGGCACGGAAGTGGAAGTGGGGAGGTGGTATTGCAAATTCAAATTGATTAATCAGGGGGATCTTATTGAGAAGATGACATTTAAGTGAAGACCAGAAGGAGCTGAGGGAATAAGCCATGCAGATATCTGGGGGAAGAACATGCCAAGAGAACTGCAGATGCAAAGGTGCTGAGGAGGAAATATGCCTGGTTTGTTTAGGGATCAGCGAAAAGGAGACCAGCAAGTCTGAAGTGAATAAGGAGAATGACAGGAAGTGAGGTTAGAGCAATTGCAGGATTGGACTGGGGAAGGATTTACAAACCAGTGTAAGACCTTGGATTTTACTTGGAATGAGTGGAAAACTATGGAGAGAGGGAATGAACAAGGGAGCAACATGATTTGGTTAAGTCTTAAAAGAATCAATGCTTGCTGCTGTATTGAGAACAAGACAAAGAAGGCAAAGAAGGAGGGATCACTCTTCCACCTTGTTCCTCTCCACAGGACAGCCCTGACTGCCACCTGATGCCCTCCCCTGGCCCTGTCCTGCTACCATCCATCCCCCGTCCATCCCCCTTTGGATTGGCTAAGCGTGTTCCCTCCCCTGGCTCCTCAGCTCCGGTTTGTGTCCACAGCTCCTCGGGGCTGGGCAAGGGCAGAACAGTCTGGCTGGGATCCCTGCTGGGTTTAGGTTTTTCATTGCTCAGCCAACTCCATCTCTCCCCAGCCCTCATATTCAGTGTTGCGGCGTCTTGCCATTCGCCCCAAAACCCAGTTCACACCCATCCCATCGGCCCCCAAAGTTCAGCAGGTAAGAGAGGGCAGGGGAGGTAGCTGGTATAGGAAGGGAATGGATGGGTATAGGAAGAGTTATTACATCTCACTTCTGTCCCAGGCTCAATGTTTGAGTGGCCTCTCTCCTCAGTCTTGCCCTGAAGAGCCTGCCCTGCCCTGGGTAAGTGCCCACAGCCTTTCCATGCTGAAATCCCTCACTCTGTCCTGTTGGCCTGAGGTCCAGCAGTTTGTGGCAGATGGGCTCTCTGGAAAAGCTACCTAACTCTCCACGTCTCCCTGCTTCTCTGCTGTCCCTCCTAATCTTAGTCTAGGGCAGTGGTCGGCAAACTCATTAGTCAACAGAGCCAAATATCAACAGTACAACAATTGAAATTTCTTTTTAAGGCAGTGGTTCTCAACCTTGGCTGCACATTAGAATCACCTGGGAATCTTTTTAAAATCCTGATTTCTGGGCCTCATCCTCCGGAAATTCTGTTTCTTTGTTACTAATGTTGTGGCCCCACCCCATAACAAAGAAACAGAATTTCCGGAGGATGAGGCCCAGAAATCAGGATTTTAAAAAGATTCCCAGGTGATTCTAATGTGCAGCCAAGGTTGAACACCACTGGTCTAAGTCCTCTCAATTAGAAACCTGACCCCTTCCTCATGAGGGTGAGACTCAGGCGGGTCTTCCTGTCCCAGCCAGGCTTCCTCACATGGCCCCTCTCTCTTCCCATGTGGCAGGAGCAGATTGCAGTCCGGCTATTTGACCAGGAGAATTGTAAAAGGTTACAGGAGGGGTCTGGGAAACCACCTATGGCAACTCCTCATGGGCCCCACCCTAGCAGGACCCCCAACCTCCAAGAGCTGAAGATGCAGGTGGGTCTTTGTGGGCAACCGCTTTGATGCCAAATGGGCAGAGACAGGACTGGGGAAGGGAGAAATGGGAGGCGAAAGGGGGTATGGGAATAGGACAGTGTGGGTAGAGACTTGAACCCTCATCTTGACATCACACTGGGGTATTCTCTCCCACACACAGCGCATCAGTATCCTGAAGCAGCTTTTGCAACAGGAGGTAGAGGGGCTGGCAGAGAGCAAGTGTGCCCCTCTTAATGGAGGCTCCTCTCTGGATATGGTTGAACTTCGGTCCCTGCTGGCAGAGATTCCTAGAACTCTGAATGCCCCAGTGCAGAATTCTGGGGCTTTCCGCCTTCCTGAACCGTTACAGCACTCTGGACTGCCAAAGCCCTGCTTTCCAGAGGAGTGTGGGGAACCACAGCTCTGCCCTGGAGCAGAGCCTGAGGCAGCTCGGCCCTGCCCTCCGGCAGAGCCAGGGCCCCCAGAGCCCTGCCATAGCAGGGAGCCTGAGATACCAGAGCCTACCACCCAGAAACAGCCTGAGGTATCTGAGGCCTGCCCTCCCGTAGAGCCTGGATCTGTCCAGCCCTGCTCCCAGGGGCAGGCTGGACTTCCAGAGCCCTCCCCTCGGGTAGAGCCTGAGGCTTCAGAGGCCTGCTCTCTGGAACCTCGGAGCACAGAGCCTAGTCCACAGTCCTGCTGCGGTCAGTGGGCTCCAGCGACCACCAGTGTGATCTCCTCTCAACGCCCATTTTGTGCCAGCCCCACTATCCACTCACTCCAGTCTCTGAGGCCCCCAGCAGGCCAGGCAGGTAAGTAGTTGGTTGGAAGGGGCTGTGAACAAAGGAGGTCCCCATCTCACTGGGAGCAGGACCTCTGCCCTGTACCCGGTGATGCCAGGCTTGCTTTCTTCCACCTACCTTGCCCAGCCTGGCTTTCCTTCAGGAAGATGGGAGGAGCTGGGCCTCCAGTCCTGTGCCCCTAATTGGCTTGCCTCTTGGTGGAGGATCGAGAGAGGGCAATATAAGGTGAGAGTATAGAACTCCAGAGCCCACCCTGAACTCTGGCCCATGGACCCCCAGGCCCCAGCAGTCTGGCTCCTCGAACCCTGGCCCTGAGGCAGCGCCTCAAAGCATGTCTGACCGCCATCCACTGCTTCCACGAGGCGCGCCTGGATGATGAGTGTGCCTTCTACCCCAGCCGAGCCCCTCCCTCAGGCCCCTCTCGTGTCTGCACCAATCCTGTGGCCAAGTTATTGGACTGGCAGGACGCCCTGGTGAGCCTCCCCATCCACAGCCAAGCTGTGCCTGCACAGCAAGCCTGTGGGAAGTAGGAAGCAGAGCAAAGGGGCCGACCTTGGCTCCTTTATAAAGATTATTGGGGGAGCGTGGGCTCACTTCAAGGATGGCTGGGCCGTGACAAGGTCTTTCTCTCTCTCCAGTGTTTTATTCCAATTGGTTCTGCAGCCCCTCCAGACTCTCCAACATGAAGCACCCACTTCCACCTGTTCCTGCCCTGTCTTGATCCTTCCTTTTAGCCCTTATTTATTGTCGGTCCACCCTGTGGGATTGGGAGTCGGGGAGTCGACACCCTTTTATCCTTCAATAAAGTTTCTAAAGTGTCTGAATATCTTTCCCTCTGGTCTGACCTGGGCCAGCTACTGCTGTTGCTCTCCAGTTGCCCACTTGGTGGCAGTGTCCTCCAGCTTAGAGCCAGCTCCGGACTCTCGGGATCCCAGGGCTCCCTCACCTTGGATCTGTCCTGAAGGGAAGAAATCATCCCACTCTTGTTCACCCCACCCGCTCAGCAAGCTCTGTGATTGAGGGGCCAACACTCATTGTCCCCTTTGGTCACCTGCTCTTCTCCCAGGTTCTTAAGATCAGTGCCCTTCCAGGAGCCGTCAGCAACTTCTTCATCCCCTAGAGATCCTCTTCTTAGAACTCTCCCTGCGTCAGGCAGAACCAGCCGTCAGCAACTTCTTCATCCCCTAGAGATCCTCTTAGAACTCTCCCTGCATCAGGCAGAACACTGAACACTAGACCCATATCCTTGGAACCTTGTTGGTGTCTCCCTACAGTGTAAGGCCGGAAGCTCTCCTGAAGCTCATACCGCTCCCCTCCCCCCTCCCCACATCACAGCCAAAGCCCTGGGCTGCTCCCCTCCCCCAGAGGCAGGCTTGCAGGGAAGAACTAAGCTTTTGCCTCAGGCAGGGTGGGTGGGAGTCCTTGAGAGGAGTGTGGGTAAGGGTCAGCCCTCTGTCCCCACTCTGTGCACCAGTTAAGAGGCTCGCACATTCTCTAATGTCACTTTATTGGAAGAGGCAACAGCAGCCCAGATGGAGGTGAAATGGGGACTGTACAGAACGGATTTTAAATGCTAGGAAAGAATGCACTGGTTCCTCCAGTTCACAAGAAGGCTGCCAAGGCAGGAGCCTGGAGCCTGAAAAATGGGGATGGCAAGAGGTTTCATGACAGAGGACCAGTGCCTACCCCAGTCCTAACATCTCCTCCCACCTAGATGGACTCCTTCTATCTCTGTTCTCCCTCCTACAACGCCAGGTCTGGCTAGTGAGACTGTCCCCAGCTCCCAGCAGGAGAGAGGGCCACCGCCTCCACCCTTCTCAGACCCGCTTTCACAGGATATGGGTGGTCCGCTCCCCAGCCACTAATTCCTGGAAGCACTGAGAGTCTGCCCAGTAAGGCCTCCTCCGGGAGCAGGCTGGTCCACCCCACAGCCAGGGTCTCAAAGGATGGGGTGGCGCCTTGGGTGGGGCCAACTGAAAGTGGGTGAGGAGGGAAGAGAAGATAAAGGGCAAGCGAGGTGGGTGGAGGATGGGGCCGGCTCAGTCCGGGTAGATGATGAAGCCAGAGAAAGTGCTGTACTTGTTGGTGTTCCCGCCATGCACCTTCCCGCCGTCCAGCTTGATGAAGACTTCATCGCCCACATCCAGGTGCAGGATGACGCTGTTGCTGGCGTAGTCGTAGTTCTGGTCTGCGTCCTGGGCAATGGCGCTGGCCCGGACCTACGGAGAGAGAACAGAACAACCCCCTCACTCCCTGTGCGGAGCTGGGGTGGTGAGAGGGGTGGGGCGGATCTAGTGCAGCTGGGCCTGTGTAAGTAGCTGGCTGCAGGGTCTGGGGTGGACAAGGAGAGGCCAAGAGATCGCGGAGCTTCTCAGGCACTAGTCTCACTAGCTATGTGACTCTGGCAAGTCTCACACCTTCTCTGGTCTTCAATTTGAGCTGTAAGGTGGAGGTAATAATAGAGCCTACCCTAAATTAGTTACTGCATGTGAAGTGTATTAGAACAGTGCTTTGCACATAGAAAATGCTGTAAGGCCTTGCTATTATTATTATCATTTAAGAAATAAAATTTTAAAAAAAGAAATAAAATTAGCCTGTAATTTCTAGGGTAATTTCTAAGATTCTGAACCCCCTCTGGCCTCCTAAACTTGCATTCCTATCCCCAAGTGTTAGGACACAGGTGTGTCCACGCATATCAAGGCTGCGGGCCTTAAATGGGAAGGTGCAATGATGCATGCGTGCCTTGGGGTGCCCACTTCCCTCCTAGTTCCCTCTAGCGCACCCAGAGGGGTCGCCTTCTTCCCCAACAGGTAGCCCCTCCTCCTCTCTGGTCTCGCTGCCGCTGCCTCCTGCTGCCAGCCCCTCCCCCTCAACCCCCCCTCTTCCTGTCCCGCAGGGGCTGGTTATTAACTCATTAATTATTCATCATTATTCTAATCACTATTTACTGTCCTCAGGGCCCGCAGCGCCCGCCCGTGCAGTGCAATTCTGAGTGGGAGCCACGCAGCCCCGGCCCCCGCGGAAACCGGCACACTAGATACACACTGCCTCTTCCACCCCCTCACAGACATCCCCGCCGCAGAGACCACACACCTCCTCAATGCCACATACACATAGACGTGCTCTTTGTTCACACCTTTGCACCAGCCCAAGCACCCAAAGACACACTCAGATCAATACACACTCACTTGCACACACAATCTGTCTCATACAGACATACAGACAGACACACAGACACTCTCACTCCCTCTCCCTGGGTTCCTGGGGCGGCCCTGCTGGGAGGAGACCCCAGTGCAGTGCCTGCGGGCCTTGCAGCAGGAGAGCGCTGTGGCCCAGCAGGAGGGAGTTTCCCCAGCCAGGATGAGCAGGCCCGATGCAGCACAGCACCCGCAACACCACCCAATCCCAGCGTGTGGGGGGAGGGGGCATTCCGAGGTCACCGCTAAGTCTCCACCTTATGCTCTGATGCTTGCATGGCCCAGGCACCCAAACCAACCCCTACGCCTGAGGCCCCTCACTATTGCTGTGTGTCTGGGTCCTCGAGCTAAGCCAAGGCAGCAGTGACTCTGGCTCTGACCACAGGGACAGGGAGCAGCAGAACCTGGAGGCCAGAGGTTGCCAGGGAGGATGTGTGGCCTACGGGACCAGGCCCCACCTTCTCTGCTTTGCCTTTCCTCCTCCAAACCCGTCCTTTGCCTTTTTCCGTCTCCAAATCCGTTCCTTCAAGCTGCCTGGCTGGTCCCTCGGCTAATATACCAGTTCTCACCTCTGCCTACTGACTCAGTATTAGCTGAGTGTAAGGCCGCTCTAGAATTGGCCCTAGGCCCTGGGACTAGCAATAGAGCTGATGGTGAATGAGCCAGTATTTTCCTTCTTTTTTACCTTTCCCTTAAAAAATCCAGGCCGAACGCCCCACATGGGAACACCTGCCGACTGTGCACTGCCTGCGACCTGGCAGCCTGGCATTCCTGGGTTCAGTGAGGCTGTTTGGAGAAGGGGGTGGGCTGTGTAATGAGCGCAGGGGGATTTAAGAAAGCCACTTGGCGAATCTGAGGTTGGGGAGGCGGGGGCACCTCACCTGTCCGTTCTTCATCAGGTCTGCCCACATGCTGGTGCCGTCGCCGCCGCGCATGAGCACATGGTAAGCGAAGAAGTAGACGCCCGGCATGGGGCAGGTGAACTTGCCGCTGGCCGCCTCGTAAGCGTTGCCCACGTTAGTCACCACGTCGTCGAAGCGCAGCACCTCGTAACCCTCGTGCGGCCGCCGCAGACCCGCATAGAAGGCAATGCGAGGCACG